CTGAAATGCGTTCCGAAAATCTCAGAGACGTGGTGCTCCCACTGACACCCAGGGATTGAATAAATTTAGTATTAAAATAACTCCTTAAGGCTCTGGCTTTTGATTACGCTCTAAGAAATTTATTTCTTTTTAACCTAGAAGGAAACTGGTAGATCAAGCAGTTAGTTACGGGCAGACAGACGTATCCAGACCTACATCTGTGTTTATTCAGAATTATAATAATAAGCCATATATATAAATTATAATAAGTTATGTTAATTAGAATAATAATTTTATATTTCGCCTGTTAGTATACACGGTTATGGGGGCAAGATTTGAAATCAGGGCAAAGTAACTGCACGGACCCTTGAGTGGGAAACAGGTTTTGCTAATTAGCTTCCCTGTGCATGAGAGCACAGAAGGAAGCGATCGGAGATTTTAAAAATCTTTACCAGGCTGCCTCTCAAGTATCCCAGGCTGTGGGGAGATGCCCCTCTTGGAATCGGAGGGGACATTAGGCCAGTGCTGCCTCCAGCTGCTTGTCACCTTGTCGCTGCCTTTCTTCCAGAGGTTCCCGGTTGGGTGTCCTACCAGCAAGGGGATTATGTGAGCCCCCCCAGTCTTTGCTTTCTGCAAAGTCAGCCAGGGTGGTTTAATGTGCCAGTGAAAACAAGTACATGCGCTAATCTGGCTTCTCATAAAGCAATTAGGGAGCACTTATCTGATCCCCCCTGCCAGCAGGCTGGGGGATGATGAACAGCAAGGGTAGGATCTCCTTTAATCAGCACAACCAGCTGTCGCCTCCCAGAGCTTGCCACGGTTCTACCGGAGCATCAAAGGCTGGTTAATGAAAGCTCTTCTTATTTTCGTCCTGATTGCCACATCTAGGTCCAGTGCATGCTGCAGGACGTGGGCTCCAACATTGCGACGCCTCTCTCCTCAGCCAGGGAGGCTCACTTAAGTAAGCCCCGCGGTACCTTTCCTGGGGTGATGGTTCTTGAATCACAGCTGCCCCGCTAAACCGGCGCTGGGGAGGCTGCTCCGCCCTGTGGGTGGTGGTGGAGCTGCCCAAGGGCTGACTCCAGTCATGAAAAGTGGCCCAGGCTGCCCTGTGGCTGCTGGACAGGGAGCCAGCCCTAGTGGGAGAATATCTGGGGGTCACACTTTCCTCTGACTTGCTGATCCAAGAAATACAAAAGTATTTCAGCTGATTCTTCTTTTCCCTCTGTAGAACGGACGTCTTTTAGCGAGAAGCCGGTTCTGGAGCTGGAGCAGTGGATTGACAGTTACTCGGAGCAGCTCCCTCCCCTCAGAGCTTTCATCTTGCCAGTAGGTCCTGCTGCTTCTGCCTCGTGCTGGCTGGAGCGGGCTTGCTTCGTTACGGTCAACCCGCTCTATCCCTTGCTGTTGGGAAAACAAATCACGAGGCTCTTGTTTGCCTGGACAAATGGCAAAAGAAAAGCAGGGAGGAGGACCTTGCTGGGTTAGATTCCCACATCCTACTGCATTCACATCTCTCCTCCCAGCCATAAGCGAGACGCGATAAGCTTCGCTGCGGCCCTACAATGAGGCGGATGGCTCTATCTGTTGTTAGCAGACACTGATGCGCTGTTTCATTGTTGTTTCAGTCAGGAGGCAAAAGCAGCGCTGCTCTCCATTTCTCCCGAGCTGTCTGCCGCCGAGCTGAGAGGTGGTGAGTGCCAGCTGCGGCGTAACGGAATAAGAGAGATAAAAGGTGATCAGAACGCTGCCGCGATAGCAAATGGCTGCAGTCGGAGCAGTCAGCCATAGCGGTGTCGCACTCGACGAGAGCTCACGTCAAGCTTCGCGTGAGTCAAATTCCAGGAGTGCAAAAAGCAAGGCTGCCTTCCCTCCCCTGAACTGGGTCACCCGAGCTAAGAGCTTTTGAAAGAACAGACAGGCTAACGTCGAGATCCATCCCTGTGTTCAGCTCTTCCCTGGATGTGTCCTGGGGGCTGGCATGCTGGGGAGGCTTTAAGATGTTGCTGCCCACACCCACCTTGTCCCAGTTCCCTACTGGAGATGAGAACAACTCCCCTGGTAAGATGCGCAGAGGAAAACTCTTATCTGCTCATTATATAAATCACTTCCCTGTGAAGTCACCTGTGCTAGCCTGAACCCGCTCGTCAGCAGCTCTGAGTTGCTGGGGGTCCTTTACTGAAGCTGCTGATGTGCAGGAAGATGGTTTTGTGGGTGTGCTTGCTGTGAGGATTGCCGCTCGGACAAGATACGCCAGAGCAGCGTGATCTTCAAAAAAACCACAAACCCACAACTAACATCACATCCAGTGGTTTCTTGTCAAAAGCAAGCTGGGCAGAGGGCTGTACACCAGTCAGGAGGCAAGGGCCGGCTCTGTTCCCTCAACAAAAGGGTCCCTGTTGACCTGCCAAAAAGGATCGTGATCCCGGCAACTGCTCAATACCCATTGATAAGTATCCTTTAGAGGAGCGGAGCTGTGGTCCTCCAGTTACAAAAATGAGTTGCATCATTTAACCACCACAGATTCCTCTCTGGGAGGTAAAAGAGTGTTCACCCTGTGAGGAGTTAGAACGGGGACTCAGGTGAGGCTGGGGTGGGAAGGTTGGTGCTCCAGTCCTTTCTAGCTCTGAATGCACAGTTAAATACACTAAAATTTTCCTCTTCTTTTTCTAGTGTGGTTCCTTTAGTACAAGCAGGAGAAGCAGATCCTAATGTGGCCAAATATTTAAACAGGTAAAAAAAAAAAATATATAATCTCCAAACCCTTAATCCCTACTACTGAAGTGTGCCTAGTGATGTGAGGATAAAACTGTGAGCTTTTACCTCTCAAGAAACTTCCCTTATTCTAGAATAAGATCTTGGAAGTTGCAACAAGCAGCTTGTTAAAAATTATTTTTGCAAGGCCTGAGGGAGTGGTTGGAGCGTTTCTTGTGTGGCCTGTCTTTGCCTTCCTTCACCTCCCGTTCCTGTGCTGCAACCAAATGCGCTTCGCCACACGGTTTGTGCGTTGCTGGATACAGACACGCCTGATGTGAGAAGGGGGTTCACTGCTTTTCCCTTGGTTTCCAGGCTGAGCGACTACCTCTTCGTTTTGGCACGTTACGCTGCGATGAAGGAAGGGAAGGAGGAGAAAATATATACAAAACCTGAAGCGTAACGGGGAGCTGGAGTGTTTGTTTCCTTGATCGTGGGAAGCTAAATCCAGCAGACTGCCTTCCCCCGTTAAGGAAGGGAAGGAGAATGCGAT